ACATAGGAAATATGAGAGGTTTAATATGGAATTGTTGAACAAAGACTTCAATTAGAAGTTGGGATTGGAATTTGGTTCTATTAAGGAGTTTAAAGAAGCAATTATAGAGTACAATGTGTTGAATGGAAAAAAGATAAGGTTTGACTTAAATGACAAGAAGAGGGCTAGGGCAAGGTGTAAACATTGTGTTGAGTACTCTGTCTATGTAAGCAAGGTGAGCAGTTCTGAGACTTACAGGCTGAATACTTTGCATGATAAACAAACATGTGGAAGGGTTTTTCATAATAGATCTGCAAAGTATGCTTGGGTTGCCAAGGTTTTGATTAACAAAATGAAAGCCACAACTAGTGACATGGCATTGAAAGATATAATTGGTGAAATTCAAGCCAATGATTCCACTAGAATATCGAGGTCATGGAGGGCTAAACAAATAGCAAAGGGGGTTATTGATGGTGATTTTGTAATGCAATATGAACAACTTTGGAGGTATGCTGCTAAAATTAAACAAAGACACCTTGCAAATATGTGTGTTATCAATGTTTAGAGGCCAAGTTTGGAGATATTACCAACATTTAGAAGTTTCTACATGTGCCTCGAAGGTTGTAAATCAACATTTAAAAAGGCATGTCGACCTTTGATAAGTGTTAATGGATGCCACCTAAAGACAAAGTATGGAGGTCAACTATTGATTGTTGTTGGTAGAGATCCAAACAATCAATATTTGTCCTTGGCATTTGCTGTAGTGGAAACTAAGACAAAACACTCGTGGAGATGGTTTCTGAGTTTGCTTCTAGAGGATATTGGTGATATACAGACCAACAAATGGGTTTTCATGAGTGACCAACAAAAGGTAAATTGATTCATACCTACTGACTATAATTGTCTATGTTGCTGGCAAACTTTTGTACTAACTATCAATTCCTTTTGTACAGGTTTTGCTACAAGTGTTTGAAGAATTTCTTGTCCCAGTTGAACACATGTTCTGTTTGAGACATTTGTACAATAATTTCAAAAAGAAATTTGGAGGAGGTGTGCAACTAAGAGACTTAATGATGGGTGTTGCTAAATTAACGTATGAACAACAATGGAAGTCTAAGATGCAGTAGATTAGAGATCTGAATGAGGCTTCATATTGGTGGTTATATAACCTTGACAAAAAAGCATGGTGTAAGCATAAATTCTCCTCTCATACAAAGTGTGATTTGTTGATGAATAATTTAAGCGAGACATTTAATAGTACCATACTTGTTGTTAGGGATAAGCCAATCATAACCATGTTTGAGTGAATTAGGATGTACCTCATGAATAGGTTTTCAAACCTTAGAGATAAGTGTAAAAATTACACAGGTCAGATTATTCTTAAACCTTTGAAGAGGCTACATTGGGAGGTTGAAAAATCTGGGAATTAGGTTGCATATTAGGGTGGGGATAAAGATTTTAAGGTGAGCCACTTACATAGTGGTGAGAAGTTTCTTATTGACATCAATCGAAATTATTGTGGCCGTAATTTTTGGGATTTGATAGGTATTCCATGCAGGCATGCAGTGGCTGCGCTACAATTCAGAAAGTTGAACTTCATGAATTATGTTGACAATTGTTATTCTAGGGATACATATATTATGTGTTATGCAAACAAGATTTCTGCCACAAATAGGTAAGATATGTAGCCTGAAAGTCAATTTGATGAGATTCAACCACCCAAAAATAAAAGGGGCCCTGGGCAACCAAAAAAATTAAGGAGAAGAGAACTAGGTGAAATTGACCTAAGTTTGACAAAACTGACAAGAGACAATGGAAAGTATAGGTGTAAGAGATCTAGTGTTCAAGGACATAACACCAGAACTTGTAGATAGCTAGCACCAACACCACAATCAGCCAATGAAACACCAACTAATGAAACACCAACACCAGATCTGAATGTTGGAGCAGATAGCGAGGATGTTGTAGTTGAGACAACCCATGTGGTGACTGAACCTAATGTTCAACAACAAGTTCCTTTACCAGTGCAACATAAGGTATATGTTATAATAATAACAAATTCATTGCTTATATACAAATACTAATCATTTACCTTTGTAGGGAAGAAATGTGAGACCAAAATTGGTGCCAAGAAGACCCTTCAAAGGAGTAAGCACAAGAAGGAAGCAAGTAAATCTGAATGATGTGAGTGGTGCACCAAAAAAACCAATTACAAAAGGACCAACTCTAGAAGGACCAAATGCACCAAAAAAATAACCATAGTAGGAATAGAGGAGAAGGGAATAAATGTTTTTATTAGGTTACTTTTGCACCCTAAACTTTTGATACAAAATGTGTGTTTAATTTTGATGCATGTGCATCTTTTGGGGACTATACTGTACCTTTTTATGACAATGAAATATAAACAATGTGCATCGTGCAGTGTACACCTTTTGGGACCACACTTTTGTGTCTTTCTGTCTTAGCATGCAATGTGCAATTTTCAGGTAGTCAAATGAAAATTATTAATTTTGTAGGTAGAAAAGTAAGACATAATTTTAGGTTGTTTTCTGCAAAAAGTACCATCATTCAGGTAGTATTATAAAAAAGTTAATATTTGAAGGTAGTTAGTTGTTAAACTTAATAATATTTAGGTAGTATTCTGAAATCCTATATATTTTGAGGTAGTAAGTTGCATAACTTAATATTTCTACAACTCAAACCAGATATAAAACATTCAATTCAATTGAATACAATTTCAATTCAGAACAGATTCAAAACATACTCATTTACAGTACAGAGAAACCTTCATTGTTGTTGCAAATCAATTCAATTAAATATACTTCAAATTTGCAATTTAACCACAAAATTGCATTCAATTACAAACTGTTAAGAGTGTACATCTTTCCTACTAACATTGATTGTTATTACAATGCTTACAACAGTAATGAAAACCCAAAGTACTATCACTACAAATGCAAACATTTTGACCCCATTTCTCTCAACTAAAATCTTCTTCTTGCGTGAAATTTTCAACTTCAATAACGCAAGTTGTTGATGAAGATTAAAACATTCTTCTTGAAACCCTGCAATTTCTTTCTCGCCTTTTGCAATTTTCTTTTCATTTTCTTTTTCTACATCTATTTAAGCACTAATTCTTAACTTCAACTCTTCAATTTTGCGCATGTAACTCCCTAAACAAACTCTTGTTGTAACTAACTAATTTCATATCTAAATAGTTATTTAAAATTATTCTGTAATTGATTTAAAGAATTTAGTTATAACAAAAAGAAAAAATATAATATTTTATGCCTAATATATTTATTAGAAAAAACTTTATATTGATTTTCATGCTGTGACAATTCATCAAACATATTTGTATTGTGTTTCACTTAAAGCTATAAAAATCTAGACTTTCACCTTGTTTCACAATAAGAACCAACTATATACTATATTAAATGTTCACTTCACCATATGTATTCGTAATTTTCTCCTCGTTTTTGAATGCATATTATCCAAAAATTAACAATTCCCCGAATCCTTCAATGACATTAAAGCTTGTTGCAAATTACAAGTTCAAGAAGGAACAATCATTGATCAGGACATGAGGACATTGATTCAGCGAAATCGATCTTCAACAAATTTGAACATTAATGGGAGGCCCCAAAACCACCGGTGAATTAGTAAATAGTGGAACTAACAAACCGGATGATCACCGACATAATAAGACTAATCGAAGTTAACTAACACCAAAAAAATAAAATTAATATATATATATATATGTGTGTGTAGGGGGGAGAAGAACCTACTTATTCTACTAATAAAAAGATAGACTTATTCTATTTTATAGTTTATCATCTATATTAAATTTTAACGATTTAATCGTTAAACTTAAAATTCTTAATATATAAATTAGATATATAAATTTTTAAAAAAAATTAGAAATTATACGATACTTTATTTCATTAATTAAATTGATGAAAAAAATATTTTTATGATTATTTATCAAATCAAATTATTAAAAAAAAAGTATCAAATAATTTTTAATTTTTTTAAATTTGCATATTTGATTTATACATTAAAATTTTTTAATTTAATAATTAAATTGTTAAAACTCAATATAAATATTGAGTTATTAGGTGGAATAAATCTACAAAAACTTATTCTTAAAATAAGTAAATTATATATATATATATATATATATATTCGATAATGATATTATTAATACGGAATATCTATCAATTTTATTTGACTAACGGATCACCTATAATTAAGTTTCTTCTCTAAACTATTTTTTTCATACATAAGAATATAAAGATAGAATATTTATTATATCAAATAACAAGAATAATTACATACGTATTAGTTAAGTTACTAAAAATAAATTTAATAATATATCTTTGATTTTTTTTTTCATATGATTTCACATGTCAATTTTAGAATATTTTACATTTTCTGATCTGTTTGTTTAATTTTATTACATTGTGAGTTATATATATGAAGACATTTCCAACGATAATTGTTTTCTTTAATAATAAATCATTAGTCTTACATGGTACACACAAAGTATAATAATGTATGATGTCCACCCCATGTGCGTTCTTTAATAGGCCTACGTACTGATCAATTACTAATATATCTGTTTATGTAATTTCATATTTTCTGCGTACTCTCATTGCATGCAAGCACAACAAAATTAAAGACAATGAAGTCAGATCGAGGAAGAGACAAAACATAAGGTATCATGTCCGAAACAATGTCTAAGTTAATAAAATCGAGACAAAACGCAACCACACCCCACATCACTCCATCTATACCTAAATAACACGCACCACTTCACGTACTCACCATTCATCAAGGTGTCATCCATGCAGCAGAAATCGCTCACCATCACAGCATCGTTGTTTCCAAGTGCATGCATGCATGCCAATGCCACCTCAATTTTGTTCAATTCAACACACGTCAACCTGCATGCCATTCCGTGGCCAAATGTCCATGCAACTTAACAAGAACCTCCTCTTCTATAAACAATATAAATACCCGTATTCTCAATCCCTGTTGTCATCATCGATCGAAGAGCTAGCGAGTGCAATATTTGATCGAATAGTGTAATAAGTTAAGAGATACCTACTATTACTATAGTATATCATGATGAGGGCGCGGTTTCCGCTGCTTCTGTTGCTGGGAATTGTTTTCCTGGCATCAGTTTCTGTCTCATTTGCCATTGTTTACAGAGAGTCAGAGCCACAAAGATATAACCCTTTTCACTACGACTCTAACAAGTTCCACACTCTCTTCAAGAACCAATACGGTCACATTCGTGTCCTCCAGAGGTTCGAGTCCAGTAAACTTGAGAAACTTCGAGGCTACCAGATTTTGGAGTTCACGTCCAAACCCAACACCCTCCTTCTCCCCCACCATGTTGACGCTGAGCTCTTCCTCTTTGTCCTTGAGGGTAATTAATTAAACATATATATCATCAGTTATTTGCTTCTGTTAATGCTAATGAATCTGTTAATACATTTAAAGGGAGAGCCATACTTAACATTGTGAGCCCCGACGACAGAGATTCCTACGACCTACAGAAGGGGGATGCTCAGAGAATCCCTGCAGGAACCACTATCTATTTGGCTAATCCAAGCGACAAGGAAACTCTCAGAGTAGCAACACTCGCCATGCCCGTCAATGAACCTACTCAATTTGAGGTACTGTTTTTCCTAATTCCTAATAATTGATTCTTCGTCAAATTTGTTTCCCAATAGGAGCATCAATCTCTCTCTTTTCTCTCTAGAGTTTCTTCCTATCTAGCACCGAAAGCCAACAATCCTACTTGCAAGGTTTCAGCAAGAATATTCTAGAGGCCTCCTTTGACGTAAGCAACCAAGCAACACACCATTTATTTAATTAGTTGTTTCTCTGAATGCCACACTTGTGATTTTATTTGCTTGATTTTATAGACCGAATTTGAGGAGATCAACAAGGTTCTGTTTGGAGAAGAGGAAGAGAAGCAAGAGGGAGTTATAGTGAAACTGTCAAGGGAACAGATTCGGGAACTCAGCAAACATACCAAATCTAGTTCAAGGAAAACCATTTCTTCCCAAGATAAACCATTCAACTTGAGATACCGCGGTCCATCCTATTCCAACAAGTTTGGCAAGTTGTTTGAGATCACCCCAGAAAAAAACCCGCAGCTACAGGCGTTGCATCTCTTCCTCAGTTTTGTGGAATTGAACGAGGTAACCACAAAGAAAAACCATGTGAACAGACTCAACTAGACAATTTTCTTCTTAGTTATTGAGAACCTAATCATTGAGACTGTAAATAATGACTTTCTTTTTTTCTTTTCTTTCCAAATATAGGGAGCACTTTTTCTGCCACACTACAATTCAAAGGCCATAGTGATACTAGTGGTTAATGAAGGAGAAGCAAACATTGAACTTGTGGCCGTAAGACAAAAACAACCGCTGAGGTTTAGAGCTGAATTGTCTGAAGGCGATATATTTGCAATCCCAGCAGCTTTTCCAGTTGTCCTCAACGCTACCTCAAATTTCAATTTCCTTGCGTTTGGTATCAATGCTGAGAACAACGAGAGGAACTTCCTTGCAGGTATATATATATATAACAATCAAATTGAATACATTGTTGTTACTTTTTTGTTTTATGTCATGTCAAACATGGCTGATTGTGTTATTTATTTCCATTTCTTGGTGCGTACGTGATTGAAAATTTGAAGGTGAGAAGGACAACGTGATAAGCCAGATACAAAGACAAGTGATGGAGCTTGCGTTCCCTGGGTCTGCTCAAGATGTTGAGAATCTACTAAAGAACCAAAAGGAATCCTTCTTTGTGGATGCTCAGCCTCAGCAAAAGGACGAGGGGAGAAAGGGTAAACATGGTCCTTTCTCTTCAATTTTGGGCACTTTCTGAGTAACTATGTTCTAAAATGTATGCAATAAGAGCTCAAGTGAGCGTCAAATGTATCTGGCCATGTAAATATTTGCGCTATACAGAGTTTCTAATATGAATTAACAAATAGAGACGACTATAATGCTTTTGTTTTGGATACTTCAACTGTCTGCTTATCTAATTTGATATGGTTCCAACGTACAAATATGCTAATATGCAGCTAAATTATCTAAATTATGACAACTCACGAGTGTATTAAATGGAAAAAGACATTGAATTAAACACATGATCCTCGACACTGTTACGGTCCACCATTTTCCAAGACTTTAAAACCGGCTTATAAGGTGAGGATGCCCACCACTTATATATTCTTTAATTGTCTTATCTCTAGTTAATAAGGGACTTACACTCTAATGTCTAGTATTATTGGACTTGGTACGTAAATAAATGGTGGGTTACCCTTTTGAATGATTTAGGATAGCTCTGATATTAGAATAGTGGATTTAAGCCTAACTCAACCTTACAAAATCGACTTATAAGTTGAAGGATGTTCTCCACTTATATATTCTTTAACTGCCTTATCTCTAATCGACGTGGAATTTGGATTTTTTCCAATAGATCTCAAGTCTATTTTAAATATATTCCTACAGAGTGAATGACAGGAAAGATCAATTGAGCATTTGCAAAGTGAACGTTTATTAAGAAGCTTCAATGAATTTGTAGATCACGGTTCTATATATACTGTGTATAAAAAACTAACATCAGAACATGACTTAAATTACTCTATACTGTTTGTAAGTAAATAACAACAAAATTTCGATTTAATCACTGACATACTAATTGGAGGTATCTAAATGTTGGTGTCCAAGCCTAAATGAGAATCTTAGTGGATAAAGTTGAATTTATTTTTATAATTTCCTTTGGTGTAGATATAATTATTTCTTCTCGTTCCTTTTCTGTAATACATTATTTATCTTTTTTGATTTTTTAAAAGTTCTTCTAATTGTTTTAATACTTCATGTATTTCATTTATTTTATCACTTTCATTTGTATCTTTCTCTTGATTAATATTTTCTAATATTTGCTTTATATTATGAATTTATTTTAGTTCTTTATTCAAAATTTATTTGAATTTTAGTAATAATCTTCATAAAAAAATTATGCAAATTTCATTTTGTAAATTTTTATAACTTTAAAAAAATTTTGAAAAAAATATTCATATATCCACAAATATTAGATGATTAAAAGTTATAAAAATCTACAAAAATGAAATTTGGATAATTTTTTTAATATTATTACTAAAATTCAAATAAATTTTGAATAAAAAATTAAAGATTATAAAATTAAAACTTAAATATTCTTCACAATTATACTAATAATAATAAATAAATTTAGAAACTAAATTTTAAATGTTCAATTACATAAATTTAAAGTTCAAATAATAATTGTTCAAATAAATATATAAAGCATAAATTATTTAAAAATAAACAATAAATCTTAAAATACAAATCCCTTTTACAAATAAAAAATAATATTTATAATATTTATTTAAATTAATATTTAATTATAATAATTATATTTATTTTTAAAATTGTAAAAAATGAAATATAAATAAAAATTTAGATTGTCATATGATAACAAAATTTGTAAAAATATAATTGTTTAAAAATGATGTTGCTTAAGGTATGTCACAAATAGTTTCCATGGAAGATGCTCTTATAAATAATAATTTTTTTTTACACCAATTAGTTTTAGTTTTAGTTTTTTCTTTTATAAATGAGACCAAAATAATATGAGAAATTCTACGGTACCCATATTATTTGGGAGGGTACCGGTACAATTATAATTATAATTTTATTTTATATTTTATATTTTTAATAATTTATTTAAATAATATTTATGATATTTTATTTTTTAATTTTTTAAATTATTTAGTCATTTTATTTTTATTTTATATATTCTAATTTTATTTATAATAATATTATTATATATTTAAATAGTTTAATTTTAATAATTTTTTAAGTATATTTTTGTCTTTTCACTTAAAATATTTGAATTTCTATATTTTAATTTGAATTATTTTTTAAGTATATTTTTGTCTTTTTGTCTTAAATTTTTGAATTTCTATATTTTAATTTTAATAATTTTTTATTTCTACTATTTATTAATTCTTTTCTTTTTTAATGTTTTATAACATTATTGAAATCTTATAATTTTAATCTCTACAATTTTATCTTATTTTTCATTTTATAAATATAATTTAAATTATTTATTTTATAATTAAATTATTTTTTTTTTAGAAATTTACTTAAAAGAATATATTAAAACTTCTCGGTCTTTTAGGTAGTGTTTGTTTCCCGTGATTTGGAGCGAAAGAAAGGCGAAGAAAAGCGGTGAGAAGCACTGTTGCTCTCCTCGCACAAAAGCAAAGAAAGGAGGTGAAAGACACGTAGGATTTGTGAAAATCCGAAAATGCCCCTCCCATGCATGTGCAATGTAGCATAGGATTCACGTTCACGTTCTCCACGGGCTGGTACTGATTCTCGACGTTGGGTGGCTGGTGGTGGCTGGTGGGTGTTGGTGGTGAGTGATTGTGGAAGGAGGTCCTCCATTGAAGGTAAGTTTGTCTCATTTGGTATATACGAAGGAGCATAATCGATTATGGTTGGCCACATAATCGATTATGCCCTTGCATAATCGATTATGGGTGAGGCATAATCGATTATGCAAGGCTATAATCGATTATGTGGCCAAGCATAATCAATTATGCAGGGTATTTTCGCTGCCAGTAGAACCCGGAACGACCCCGGAACGGCCCGTTCCAAAAATGCATGTTATGAGAAAAATGTGAAAGCAGAACGGGCCGTTCCACTTTTGGAACGGGCCGTTCCACTTTTGGCCTTTGCGGAGTACTTTATAACCCCAGAACAGACCGTTCCACTTTCAGAACGGGCCGTTCTGGGCACATTAATTTGTTATTAATAACGGTTATTTAATACCGTTTATATATATATATATAATATTAATATTTAATATATAATACCTTAAATTAAATATAATTATTTAATATTAATATTTAATTTATATATATATAT